TGGATGATATGAAAAATATCATTAATTTTTCTACACTTCTACCCTGAAATTTCTGAGGAATTTTCCCGAACTCAGCTGAGGAATTTATAAACAAAAAAGCGGTATATTGCAGTTTCTTGACCCTAGTGATATGAAAAATATATTTCACGACTACTGCATATCACCGCGAATATCGCGTTTTTCACTTCACGTAAAACGGGTGGAATTTGAATTTACTTTCTGAATTTCCATTACGGTGTTGGTCGCCATATGAAAATTCTTGTTAGTTTTCGTACACCCCTACTGGAATTTTAAACTTAGTTTTTTTTCTTCTTGCAGATACCCGGCATTCGAGTGGATGAGATATATTTCGACTCCAACAACTGGGCTGCGCGGTTTACCAAGATTGAATCCAAGGCGGCTGCTCGAGTACATTAAAAGTGTTCCAATTTCCGTGCCTTACATTAGTTTGGTTCGTCAGTAGTGGGAGTTTCTTGACCCTAGTGATATGAAAAACACTAGTGGAAAGTGTATTTCACGACTACTGCATATCGCGTATTTCACTGAGTTTTACGCCACTTCACGTAAAACCGGTAAAACTCCATTACATATAATAATAAATTGACTTCATATCGATTTTTTCATATGGAAGAAAATCCAATACTTTTGTTATTGAGATTTTACGACTTGACGACTACAACTGCATTTTATTAGGAACGCCATTACGAAATTTCCCGGCCTGAAAATTCCCACCCGTAGTTGACCCAAATATGTATGAATTTGATCGATGCCAGATACCCCGGCGTTTCCAACATCAAGCAGTAGTGGGTTTGTTGACCGCCGCACTGCGATGCACTTTGATGATGCAATAGTGTCTTTGAGGGGAGTTTCTGTTATATCGATAGTTGTGTTTGGTTTCCTCATACGAGTTTAATTCCAAGTTTATGTCACGGTAAATAAGAGATTTACTGCGTTGGAAAGTACACCACATTCGGTAGAAGTGTACAGAAAAACAATGGAAATTATATGCAATTCTCTCAGACAGTATACAAGACGGTTTACCCTAGTAGCAAAATTAATATAACATACGAATACCCCTGGTGCTCGGTGAATCATGAGTGAAGCGATTAATGGGTTGTGTTCTATAAGTGATACGGAATAAATTACGCACGATGAAAGCATAAACGATTATCAAGAACTCATATATATTCTGCTTTAACGTGCCTGTACTAGCAACACCACAGAAGCCTTCGGGGGGGGGGGGGAATACACACAAGGATATATGTATCATGTCATTGTAATAAGCGCGCGCCATCGTAATCGATATTGATGGCACATGAAGCGCTAGTATTGACTTCAACTTCGAGTTGACTTTTTCCAAAGCTCGAATTGAGCACGACGGTATCTAGCAGTGAACTGACTATTATAAAATGTCTGTAAATTATAATACTAAAGATATTATACCAAAAGTTAATAATATCGAAGTTTCACGACTACCCGTTTTACGTGAAGTGGCGTCGTAATACTCGGTGAAAAACGCGATGTTATTCGCGGTGATATGCAGTAGTCGGGAAATATATTTTTCATGTCACTAGGGTCAAGAAACTCGTGGATGACCAAAATATACATATATTAAAAAATGTTCGCCAGCGAAACCAGTACGGTGTTTCCTCTCTATAGTCGACCTTGCGTTTGACAACAACTAAGTGGACGATTCGAATATCAGAACTGTTTATATATTTTCTATAAAGAACTCGATGAGAACAATACGCACAACCTGAAGACCCGATTTCATAAAAACTGCTCGTATCCACCTGAAATTTTGCATAAGAATTCTCTGAACATGATTGTATTGTTTATATACGCCCCGCACTTCATTTTCGGGAAATTTTTTTGCACTTTTTGGAACAGTTCTTTACATAGTTATTGATGTAAAGATCTCATTGTTTGCCTTGTGCCACAACAGAGATGTTCAGAAGTTTGTCAAGAAGTAGGTCATTTTCACACCGGTTCCTAACAAGTCACCAATGGAGTTTCACCCGTGTGGAAGACATATTTCACCATTTCTGCAATATCGCGTTTTTCACAGAATCTTGAATGAATTTTCAATAGTCTCTAACGACAATTAAATAAAGTGGCTCACGCAATTATCGGTAGATCCTTTGCGCCATGCAGACGGAATTTATAACGAAAATCGTCCAAGTCGAACCGCTCGAGGTCATCATCAGTAAACCACTCGGGGAAGGCTTCACAGGAGGCGACGAAACGCCGAGAAGTTAGAAATCTGAGAAATGTGAATCGCGATTTTGGTACAACAGCTGTGCTATAACGCAAAGAACAGTTATTGAATAATAAAATGATGAGTGTACACAAGTACATTGGAGTTTCACGGGCGGCCCTAGTGATATGAAAAACACTAGCGGAAAATCTATTCCACGACTACTGCATATCACCGCGAATATCGCGTTTTTCACTTCACGTAAAACGGGTGAAACTTCATTGAATCAATACCATTGATCATAAACAAGCTACAACCATGTGATTCAGTGAGATGTTGCTAGACGTAAAATCGTACGCCTTAGGCGTATGTGTTGAAGACTTATAACAATGAGAGCGTCTATAGTTTCACACTGCAGTTGTATTCGTGCAGTAACATTGGAGTTTCATCACCCTAGTGATATGAAAAAATATATTTCACGGCTACTGCATAGTATGAATATCGCGTTTTTATGGAGTTTTATACCAGTTCACCTAAAACGGGTGAAACTCCATTGTATCTTCGAAGGCTCACAGTTTACCAACTCTCAGCAACATCCTTGCGTGCGAACGACACACGTGCAAGGACTCAAACTTACATGTTCATCGAAATCACCGCGGCTCTGTCAGGTGAAGATTTGATACGTGGTTTCAGTTTCTCGTCATAGTTTATACCACAACCTAATGAATTCCTTGCAATTCTCAGCAGCACTTAACAAACTCAACCATATGCCAATCCGCTTTGCTCATTGAACTGATTCGAATGCACTGGTGAGCCAGAACGCAGCAGCTCTTCGAGAGAATATACCTGCCATGGATCTCTCGCGACGAAATGAGACCACCGTGGAAAAAAGAAAATATGTAACTACATGTGTTGGTGACAATATGAAAATTCTGAGAAAATTTCGAGAAATTATTGGAGTTTCAGGCGCAATACTCGGTGAAAAACGCGATATTCGCGGTGATATGCAGTAGTCGTGGAGTATTTTTTCACGAGGGGTTTTCACATCACTAGGGTGAAACTCCAGTGTTGGCTTCTGTACACTTCTACTCAAATCCGTATATAATTAGCGAGGAAACACCCCCGAGCTCAGCTGAGGGAAGCGAACATATATTCCTTAAAAAACTCATTGAAACATTGAGAAATAAATTTTCCCGGAAATTTTTTTTGCAGGAGAATTTATTTTTTCTATGCAAACCAAAAAATGGAATTTAGAAGAAGAGATTTTTTTTGTAGTTCATTGAGATTAAAGTAATATGAAACTCACGCGAATTCGATCGCGAATAAACTCACAAAAGTGAATTGCATTTCCTTCATCGGGAGATCATTGGCATCTGTTCCGTACGGCTCTTCTAACTCGATTGATATTTGATTTAGTCCGTCGTGGCTAAGGCGTTGAAATATAATACCACACTTTTCACAATTCGAAAAAAAAATGTTTAAATTCGATTTCTGTACATATTTAGGAATAAAATTTCAAATTCGTAAATGAGATTTTGAGAATTCATAAAAAAATTTTCCGAGCTCAACAAATACAAGAATGAATTCGATCAATGAAAGCTCACTCTCTGGTTAGGATTTTTTCCATCACGAAATTTCATTTTATGAAAATAATTATTCGACTAATATCAAATTTCATTATTTCAACTGCTGAGTTCGAATCTAAAAAATTCATTTTTTTTATTTTTTTCTCGGATAAAACTGGGGAAAAAATTTGCACTCACCCGAGAACTCCGAAACAAGTCAGCAGTGGTGCGAGAAACCTGTGGAAAAAACCAGAGCCGAGCGGCATCAAGGTCCAACGAAAGTAAAAAATCGGTCCATGATTTTTTTGGGGGGAAAAAATCAAATTTTCGGATAATTTCCCAACGATATTGCACAAGCTGTCACCTCAATTTACGGTAAGACAAAATTATTATTGGAGTTTCTTGACCCTAGTGATATGAAAAACATATTTCACGACTACTGCATATCACCGCGTTGAATATCGCGTTTTTCCACCGAGTTTTACAACGCCACTTCACATAAAACTCGTCGTATAGTCGTGAAACTCCGTGTATTTCGAAGATGTTCGTCTCAATGCAGTGTTGAATTATATGCTCGTTTTTCTCAACTACATTTAAGAGTTTTCGAAGTTAATCCGAGGAGTTCACATACGACTTTGGGAGAAAATAGACGTTAGATTTTCACACTGGTGATATGAAAAAAAATATTTCACTTTCACGAGCAGTGAATAACGCGTAAAACACGCGGTATGTGTTTTACGCGAACGTGATAAGAAGTAAATTGGAAACACTTCGCGAATAACACGGGACATTCTGTAGAGTGGGGAGGTGAACGCCCAAAGAGACAAAACACCACGAATGCTCACCCCAATTTTAAAGCCTACGATTTGCAAAGCGGCTGCCCACTTTCACCAAGGCAGGAATCTCCGCAAAAAAATGTATAAGCACTTATACTAAATATAGATGTAGTTTCAAAACTACACAACATTCTCAACAGCTTCACAACATAGTTTCACAATGTAGTTTCACAAGTTCTAAATATAGATGCAGTTTCTCAACTACAAATGACGTATATACTCTCGATGAGGCTTACCAATAGTTTGTTGTTGTTATCATAGCAATTGGCGATATTATCAGAAATCCTAAGCTCATGAGTGCGATGATTTGTGCGAATGGGAAAGGGAACGGTATCATAGCAATCTTCAGTGCTTGGTTGTACCCCAACATTCCATTTGATATTTCTTGGAACCTACGAGTGCAAATATTTACACGGAGTTAACTTTCTCTCAGTGAAAAACACTGGAGTTTCACAGGCGGCCCTAGTGATATGAGAAACATATCGCACGACTACTGCATATCACCGCGAACACGCCTTTATAAAATCAAATATACATGTTTATATATTGGAGTTTCGTTCGTCTACATGAAGTGGCGTAACACTCTGTGAAAAACCCGATATTCGCAATGAAATGCAAACAATCGTCCCGAGTGTATCGAACAATTGTGTCCTCTCCCTAAGCTGTTCTCCTCTACTTGTAACTAAGTTAAATATTGCTAATCATATTTCTCCTTACTATTTCCTGTCCTATCTACAGCGTTGGAGACAGAAATATGTTTTTCATATCACTAGAATGGATAAACTCCATTCGGGCGTACACGCGACTTTGTATAGCGCCATGAACGTCAAGCCTTCCATGTAAGTGTTGTGATAATATCAGTTCTAATATCCACTGGGAAACCACCAAAACGTCATCGTGACCATTCAAGTGGCCTTCTTCCCATTTACTCACTTCTCCAACAACCTAAAATATTGCCAGTAAATGTAATGAAGTTTCACGACTGGTTTTTCGTGAAGTGGTGTAATACGCGATATTTGCGATATTGAATACGTCGTTCACTAGTGAAACTCCAATGGTGTTTCACCCTAGTGATATGTGAAACACTTACTGTTTTTTCTATCATGAGCACTACTCGTGAGCAGTGAATAATGCATATAATACGCGATGTGCCGTATGACGTATCGAATACGAGATGACTTGTTCAATGGAGTTTCACGACGACCCGTTTTACGTGAAGTGGCGTCGTAAAACTCGGCGAAAAACGCGATATTCGCGGCCTGTAGCAGTCGTAAAATATGGTTTTCATATCACTAGGGTGAAACTCCAGTGTAATCTGCAATTCCCTCCATACCGCGTTTTACACGTAAAACGGGTGTGAATCCAATTGCGGAGCAAGCGAAGCGAGCGGAGCATATACCGCAACAACAGGCAGCACTTTCGCGTTGTGCGTGCGTGCATGCAGAGTTATTCTGGCTCAACTACGGAGCGTGGGAGGCTACCAGATAGGTCAAACGACTCCTCTATATGCGGAGGTGTAGAAAAAATCGGAAAACTCAATTATGCGAACAGCTCGAAGAGATATGCGCGAAAAACTTTAATGATGAAGAAATGTCCTACCCAGGGATCGAACCGGGCTGGACCTATGTAAAATTCATTGATTGAGTCCATGGACGTGGACTCAGTGAGCTCCGCCCCTTCCTCACGAAGGCCTAGTAGTATAGGTTTTCAACTCATTGGGTATAACTCACAAAGAATTTCTGTTCCTCTCCGAAAACTTTGGTGATGATGCCGTCGGGTGAGAAGCCCTTCGCAACGCTTTTAATAGAGTTGCGTAATCGCCGTACCTCTGGTCGTCTACTCTCATCTGAGTCGGGGGATATGCACATGGTCAGCTACATGTGTTGGTGATGACAATATTAAAATTGCGAGGAAATTTTGAGAAATTTTCATGGGTTTCTGTATTACACTTCTACCCAAATTCTGAGCTCAGCAGCAGCTGATGAGGAAAGCGATTACATATATTCCTACTACTCCAACACTGATGGGAAGTAGTAGTAACAGTTTGTGATAATATTAAAATTCTGAGAGGAAATTCTTATTGGTTTCTGTATTACACTTCTACCCAAATTCATATATAAACTCTTCTGAGCTCAGCAGCTGATGAGGAAAGCGATTACATATATTCCTACTACTCCTACACTGATGGGAAGTAGTAGTAACAGTTTGTGATAATATTAAAATTCTGAGAGGAAATTCTTATTGGTTTCTGTATTACACTTCTACCCAAATTCATATATAAACTCTTCTGAGCTCAGCAGCTGATGAGAAAAGCGAACATACATTCCTCCGACACTGGTGAAACTACCGATGAGAAATTTCGGCGAAAAACGAGAACAACCCGGGTCGGCTCTCTGTTGTCGTCAAGCAGTTAAATGAAAACACTGCGATGCTCACTTCTCCTCAAAGACTTCACTTCAGTCACTGGCAATTCCGAGCCGTGATCGATGAATCTGTCCATAACAAGTACAGTGGAGTTTCTTGACTCTAGTGATATGAAAACACACATTTCACGACTACTGCATATCGCGTTTTTCACCGAGTATTACGCGACTCCACGTAAAACGGAACGTGAAACTTCATTGTTGGAAAATTATTGCTGATTTTCGAACACTTCTACCTTAGTTCGTATGTAAACTAATATAATTAGTGAGAAAACAAACATATGTACCACCAAAATTAGCACAGTAGTATTTCACCCGTGAAATGAAAAAACAGCAATTGAAAAAAAACCTATTTCACGTTTCACAACCGTAAAACTATTATTATCGATCGACGTAAATCGGATTCATATGAAGTATTATGCCACTTCACGTTAAACGGGTGGTGAAACTCCGATGCATTACGTAAAGCCTACCTGAAGATTTTCGAAAGCCCCGCGTCAGCAGCTTGGTTGTGCGGGTCTTCAAGTGTTCTCATCGCAAGCGCGCTCATTAGCGAGAATAGGTGGACCGAACTGTAGTGTGATGAAGGATATTCTAGGGCTTAGCCGACCACATTTGTGGAAATTCTGAGGAAATTCCGATTGGTTGCTATACATTTCTACTCGAATTTGTATAGTTATTGAGGAAACTTCTGGGCGCCGCTGAGGAGAGCGAAGATATAACATCTAAACACTGCACTAAGCGGAGAGATTACTGTTTTTGGAATTTTTTAAGATCTTCGATTACAACTGTTCTGCTCGCCGCGTCAGCTCCCTCAACGATGGCGTTTGAGAAGGCGACCAACTGAAAAGTAGTCGGAAAAAACTCCGCCATATGCACATGGTCAACTTCTATTTGTTGGTGATGATAACAATATGAAAATTCCTAATAAATTTGGAGAGATTATGGCTTTTTTCTGTACACTTCTACCCCGTAATTAACAAACATATATTCTTGAGAAAACTCCTGCGCTTAGCTTTTATATATTCCAAAACAACCAGGAGGAGGCTTTTTATAATGACAGTTTTATTCTTCACTGTTACTTGCATAAAAGCATCTCCCCACTTGGAGACCATCAGCGATAGATTCGTCATCGCCTCCCAGTAGCGATCATATGCCATCTTGGTACGGAAGACCACCACAAATCCGAATATCTAACATGAGATGTGATATTTACGGTATGAGCTAACTGACATATGTATATATTTGTAGTGGAAAAGGGTGCTCGAGTTGGTTGGCAACAGCTTGCAGCTCCTCACGGGCAAACAGGAAGGCCTAAAATGTGCTCAGCGAGTAGCGTTCACTGACGTGCTACTTACGAGTGCCAAGGCGAGACCAATCATCGCATATGGTGCCATCTAAGCAGTGAATGAATATTTAGTTAATATCACTTTACAAACGCACTGATGCAAAGTTCGATCCCCTGGTGCGGAATATCAGGCTTAGCATACCCGCGTCATTCTCGTAGAATATCATAACTAATCAAACTCTATAATACAGAGTTACAACGTCAACCAGAATATCAGACAGACTCAGCACATCATCATCACTGGTATGTGAATAACTACAGCTCAGCGATAACGCACTGAGAATCAACCACATTATAAGGGTTATCCATGAGAGAAATCCACAGACTGAGCATCACAGATTTTCACAACCCTATATAGGAATATAATTATGATGTACGGATTAGATACAACAATTATAGTGAAATTCTGTATAGTGCTAACTTTACCATACCAAAATTTTGGGACAACGTATATTCCCCGATAAGAAATATGTTAATCTCAGTCACTAAAAGCAACTGGATGGCGAGCTCTCAATTGGATCCCGTTATAAAGTCTGTGGTAAATATAATAGTCTTATCATAGACGCACCAAGCTCCGTGAACGCCAAAGCTTGATGGTCTACGAGTACGCATACTAGTCCAAGACCTATGCATAAATAATCTTCATCTCAATCAGCAGCTCTTCGTATTTGCTCTTGATGCGCTTCGATGCATTCTTTCTATAGCAACAGCGAAAACTCAAGCAATCTGGAACCCGACAGAGCCATGATGAAGGGGCAGTGAAGCCGTTAATCGTCATAAGGGAACACATTCCCTTATGACCCTCCCAATAGGAACCAGGATGGAACTGCCTCAGTTGGTTGATCGGATACCTAACATGTTTTCCCGATAAAGGCTGGGATACAAAACTTGCTGAGTTGGCGAGCGGAAGTACGGATAACTGCTACGCGGGAAGCCGTAGATCGCGGGGATACCGGAGCTGCCGACCTACCCATCCGAAGAAAATAATCTAAGATACACTGTGAGCTGCCATCTTGCAGATCGACTGCCTCCGGGTTAGCTTCCGCGAATCGACGAACCTCTTCCACTGTTTTTCTGGCTGCGCTTCGGCAGAGAGCAGCGCCCTCTGGAAACCTTCGAGGATCAAGATTGAGGACCCAGTGACCATATCCGATACATTTTTTCATTCTGAAATATTGGAAGCGTTCCCGATGAGCGAATCCCTGAAGTGATTACCTTTTCCTCACCATATTCCTGGATTCGGCAGTCAGATCATCAGATTTGGCGAGTAAGTCATAAGTTTTGTAGATCTGTTCGGTCGAATCGAACAAAGTCGAACTATCGCTTTGCAGCGATTTGTTCAACACTTGTAGGGGCGTCATAACTCGAACTCTTCGGCTGAGGAACTCCCGTGTCTCGGCGCTCCGCATGCGGGAGCTCAACTCGTTGCAGAGATCTTGAACCAAGACGGACAATCTACACAAAATGCGAGAATGAAACGATTGCTCATTATATATTAATGATCAATCCTACTTGTTCCAATGTGGCGGATTCTGCATTAAATCCAGTAGCTCGATCACTCTCGTATAATTTCGGTGTAAGGCTTCGAAAGATGCTCCATTCGCGACTCAGCGAGTGTCAGAACCCAGCAGTATCTGCGTTCCTTGGTAGAACCGGTGGGGGTAGCCGCAGTTGGTGACTCTTCGTGCGAGGGCGCACAGCAGAACCAAGTCATTGAATTCTCCTCTCCTCGTTATCTCCCCAGTAGCTTCTCGACGCGTAACACCGCACAGCTCACGTGCCATGATCCCATTCATATGTGAATGACAGCCGATACTCAACGCACCGGGGAGAGGACGCTCGTTTTCAGCAGCTGCCAAGCTCAAAGTAGAACATAACGAAGTCCGCGCCAAGGCAACGTTCGGTGCATTATCCGTGAAGATAGAGCTGATCCGACTGGTAGGGATGCCAACTGACAGAGAGTAAACCGAAACAATGCGAGAGTTCATAACATACTAGAGGCTCCAAGTTAGTGCTTACTGTTACGCAACTCGTCCAAGCATTCATTTTGAAGTTCAAAATTTGAGGTCACAAGAATGGTTCAAAATTTGAACCATTCTTGTGACCTCGACGCTGGTTTCCCTCTCGCCAGGTTTCAGAGCACGAAGTGCTCATGGAATGGTTGTGAATCGCGGATTGGAACCGCGTGAAGATTCGGCAGGCATCGAGATGGTTATAGCAATCATAGTCGTAGGCCGCGTTGGCGGCGTCCACGCGTCTAGCTGGATAGCTAACTGGCTGGCGGTCTTCAGGAGATTCTCGCTCTTCTTCCTAACAGCCTGACATAACCGTTCCTTGATGGCTCGTATTTTTTTAGCGTGCAGATGGCTTCTAGTACCTCCTTTACCCTAACTTGGAACTAACGCTCGTATAACGTGTCGCAGGCCCGGAGATTCCAATGATCTACTTGACCATCCCGCGATGGTAGCATATTCAACCAGACGGCGGTTGAACTCATCAATGCGGGGTCTGAAACGTGCATCCAACTTGGGGATCATGGACAGCAAAGGAAAAGAGCAATGACAAGCCTTCTTGGGAGAATTTCTCCGGGAGCCATCATGGGTGACCCATGACGAGGAGCCTAACGCAATTGAGAGGTAGTTGTCTACGACAGTGTCGGAGACTGTGCCGACACCGATGACAGACCGACACAGTCCCGAATCGGGACTCCCGATGACAGCTATCGCTCAACACTGAAATCGTAAATATCGACGTTTTGGACTCCCAAACCGTTGGATAACTGAAACTGAAACTAAAACTAAAATTTCGTGAGAGTAATGTTCGATGATAAGCGCGCTATAGAGAGACTTGTGGAGAAGCGCGCGCCCAGGGTGGGAAAAATTGCTCACAGGGCTAGAACACTGCTTTTGCACTTTACTATGGACATTTAAGAACACTGGGATAAACAGGATCGTTTTATGAGTATGACCTGTAGTTTACGCTGCTCAGGGAGAGAAAAACGAGGTGTTTCCGCATTTTCCTAAGGGAAAAACTGATAGTTTTTCCGGGAACGGGAAAGTGGGTCCCACTTTCCCACTTAGTGGGAAATGTCCCAAAGGATTCCTTTGAAAGGGAACTTTTCCCATTTTTCCAATGGACAAACCCGGCGGATGATGGGGCTGTTAATCCTGACCACGCCTGAGTATATGGAGCAGATGCAGCGGAAAACTTTTTACACTTCTCGATTTGTGCGTGTCATCCTTGCGCATGGCCCAGGCTAATCTTCTCTGTATCGTTCCAATTTTATCGGTTGTTTCGAAGGAGTTGTCTATGGCTTCTCCACAATGTCGAATATTAAGGGACTCAAGGCAACGGTTGATGCAATCTGGAGATTCTACCTACTAATCTTTGATAATCGTGATCGACTAGCTACCAGCTAAAGCTAAAAATACACAGTTGTGCAAGCTGCACAACTACAGTGGAGCTTCGCGGTTTTTTTGGGTGTAATACTCTGTGAAAAACGCAATATTCGCGGTGATATGCAGTAGTCGTGAAATATGTTTTTACTAGTGTTATTCATATCACCGCCGCCCGTGGAACTTCACTCAATAATCTCCATCAACGCGGATCTTATATTCTTGACGCCTGAGCTTGGCATTCTCGTAGATTTGTCCACACACGAGGTTATTGACGACGACTCCACCATTTCTGTCTTCCAGAAGCATCCTGGCCTCAGATACGATTGAGGTTACCTCAATCGTAATGGAAGCATCTTGACGAGGTCGAGTAGGTGTTAGGCAGTTGAAGACTAGCTTGTTATTCGTCGTATGCCGTAATGCATGTAATCTTCAATGCAACTTGGTTAGAGAGGTCGGTTATGATGATGGTGTTGAAGATGGTTCATTGTAATTATGGGCTCCTCGGCCGTGCGTTCACCGAGGAAGTTGAGAAAACCCTTTTCTACCCTTTTCAAAAGGGAAGGGGACCAACCTCCGTAGGATCGATCGATCTCTTCACTTAATGTCTCGTGATTCAACGATGACGGGCAAGATGCTCCAAGCAGTGGGGTGCTTTCCGCTGCCTGGTAATACGTTTTCGACAATAAAATGAATTTCACTGAGATTTTGGTATGAATTTCGAAATTCAGAAACGGCGTTGCGGTTTCATCGAAATAGACAACCCTGAGTGTCCTGGTTGAACCAGGCTGGTTCCACGTGAAGCGGCAATGCGCCACTGGCCTAGACCAGGGCGCCTGGTAAGTGATGCTCGATATATGTTTTCTGAGTGAGATACGTGCATGTTGCCAAAGTGGTCGATGAAAATTGTGAATGCATCATGTTTTGTTGCGACCAAAAATGCAATGGTTAACCGAGATCCAACATGGACTGATCGAATCCAGAATGCTCCAAGTCAGTCGAAATCGGCGGTAGCGTGAAGTATCTTTTAAAATTTCTTCCGGTTGTAGTCCCCGTGCATGAAGCCGCCTGGACACAGGAATTCGGGAGAGGGGTATCGGAGACTTGACGGTCCTTAATTACCTGGCTATGACATATCCATGCCAGAATTCGAGCCTGGGTTGCGCTGATGGTAGATCTGAGCTTTACCACTCCGCCAACTAGGCTGCAAGTCTTCGAACCCAGTCCTAGCGATCCGTAGTGCCACCGAGGTCACTCAATCGAGTAGGGCACTAGGATCACAGGCCTCTCCTGCACGGGCGGGATGGGTTGGGTAAAGGAACTCGAAGCACGGCCTCGATAACTCCATCAACAATCCCGTTCGTCAGTAAACTGATACCACACTCTATAGAAGGTTCACTTAACGCATATCCTCTGCGATGTGTGACGACACAACTCCCTGCGTTCGCCTCAGGCTCCCCGGCATAAGTCGGGATCGTATTGGGCTCTCAGGCTCTCTCTCGTGCTGGCTCTTTCACTCTCCGAACCTGAACAGTGCTCCCCAGTCCTGGGTACTAGGGCAAGAATGATGAATATTCTTCCCGGAGTTTAGTGGTTCTTTTCTCCTGAGGGTTCCGGGAGTTTCCGCCTGGGAAGATTACCAATCTTCCCTGACTGGACACCCTGAAAGTTACTTTTACCACAGCAAATATTCATACCAATTTTTGCATTGTTGAGGGCATGAACGATTGGGGCATGATCAATGAATGATTGATGAGTGATAGAATCGCATTGCGATTCTAGTTTTCAGTCGACTCTGAGTGATCTCGGAAAAATTATATTTATACACTTACATTTCAGATTTAGACATACTGCACTTATTTTTCGTAATCGGAACCCTCGTGAAGTGGTCTACAGTGCAAACTCTGCGCGTGTCGACTATCTGTACACAATACATCAAGGTTAACAGGATTTTCTTTACAATTCGTCGTAATGATAATCTATAATACAGCGTTCGGTCAAAGGCAGGATCGGTTACCGATCATCGGTATTATATCTTGGAGTAGTTTTTGAATATAATAAACTTATTAGGATGAGTTATACGCGGTGTTGAAAAATAGTTCCCTCTTCTCAGCTGAGCTCAGGAGTCTCATGAGAGAATATGAGATATATGAATTCGGATACGAATGTTTAGAAACCTACAAGAATTTTAAAAAAATTCCTTACGAGATTTTTTGACTTGTTGTGACTGACACGTGAAGTTGACTAACTGCATATTTTCCAGTCATGATAACGAGTTCTCCCTCACCAGACGCGTTTTTGTCACCCTGTAACACTTATGGTTGTATAACACTGTTACACAACAAGATGAGATTCTTGAATTACAAGCCCTCAGACTGTTGTGTGAAAAGATGTAAGAAAAAGTGGAGGCTCGCAAATAAGGGATAAGTGAAAGAAGACTACCTCTTCGAGGAGTGGTTCTCGCATAACAAATGCGAGCGGATTGTATACAAATGCCCATGAGGCTTCTAATGAATCGTGATCATACCATGATCACTGGTCTCTGAATCTGATGGCGGGTTAGCCAGACTTGAGCGTAGCAACACACATGTACTCGAGAATGTTGCATTCACCTGAAAAGGACGATTTCGCGGAGTCATGATGAGTGTCGAAGCTCACCGTAACCAGAAACTCCTCGCTTTAAATAGAAGTATCCAGCTTGGCCCCAGGAGGATCCCCAAGAATTTCTGATGATGAAGTAACTGACAACAAGAAAAAATTGCAGCGAACATTCACATTATTTCGTCTTACTCTGATCCATTTTCGGTGCCATAACCAACCGCCACAACACCGTGATCAAGTTTTCCATTACAGGTTGCTAAAACCCGTAATATTCTGTACACATCAGCATCGGTTGCAAATCTTACCAGATGAATACACTCCGGATTTGTAAAAGCGAAAATCGGGATCCGCGGCATACATGGCGACGGAGACCGGAGCATCCGCCAGCGCTTTCATCAAGCTCTGCTCAGTCTTATCTAGCATGTGAAAGCCGGTAACTTCGCCAGCCTGTAAAAAAGATGATAGTATTGTTGGGTACAAATCTTACCGGGATGCCGTCGGACCGTTTCGCAAGGGAGCCTTGACAAACGTCGTCTGTACCATTATAAGAGTAGGTTGACTCTTGATCGAGGCCAGCTGACTTTATGTACTCATAAGCATCGTCCATGAGGCCTCCTTCACAGCCACTGAAATGAGAACAGTGTGAAAATCTCCCACTGGGAATATGCACAAGAGTATGTAATGAGAAAATGCAAGAGAATATGGAATCAATATGCATTTGAGAGACACAGGCATGTGGTGCCACTTACTTGTTCCCATAGCCGGAACTGCAATCCACAAGCTGCTGCTCGGAGAGCGACAAAAGCTTACCTGTAGCGATGGCATACTGCGCCTCGAGGGCACCTGAAAATAGCAAAGGCACACACATGCATGTCCAAGAGAGTTACCGGTCGTGGAGAAAGCCCAGCAGCTCCCACAGGAACCTTGATCCTTAACTGGGGTTAATACATTCTTATTCCTCCAATCCACCGAAGTTGGGAGCTGTGTAGTGTCAGCTGAAACAAAGAGGCTCAAGCTGGCATGCTCAGCTGGTCCTACCTTCAATAACAAACTTATCATCCCTTCTCGTACTCATCTTCAAAGTGCCGAGCTTCAGAGCGGCGAACTCCTCGTGTGTGAGGTCCGCATGCTCATTGACGCCCAGCTTGTAAGACAGATCTGCATAGCTCGGCACTCGGCTTACGGCGGGTATAATGTTACTCACCTTTAGCGTTGACTTGCTCGATGTGATGGAGGTTGGCTTGAAAGATGGCATTCCTTTTGACTTCTTCCTCCTTAGACTCGTAATTTTTACCGAACCTGCAAATCAAAACATCATAATGCAACACGATCTGATTGCCACCTTACTTATGTTGAAAACCCATGAAAGCCAACTCCACAGTTCCCTCCTCCAAGCACTTGACCAAAGGTAGGATTGAGAGAAGAACGAGTGAAATGATTATGAGCATTTGAGAAGCAAAGCCTACAGATAGTGTTGAGAGAGTTCGAGTACAGTTCAAACTTAGCAGTTTCCAACTCGGGCCCTTTTTTCTCATACAACTCTCCGTGTAACACGCAACTGAGACGGTGTGATCGTGAACGCGTGACCGGGTGGGTCACTGTCCCCCCGTCCCGTGGCTCTTATCGTGTCACTGGCTGCAGCAGCCTACCCCATTGCTAGGATCCTCTCGTTCATTCTCTGCTCATTACACTTGCTTGCTCTAGCCCTGCAAGTTCTATGACGCCAGTGCTGCAGTGGAACTGCACGGATCAGTTGTGGCTATGGAGCGACGAGAGCGCTGACGGTTCCAGTGAAGCCGTCAGCGTCATCGGTACAGCGTCACGCTGTCAGCGTGAAGTCACTTCACGCTGTCACAAACTAGGAGAGTCCCTCACGGATTCAATAATTTTTCATTAACCTATCATCCATTGGTAAATTTCATCTCCCTGATAGACTCCAAGTATTTGAGATCGATGCGGAGCGATGCCGAGCCTTGGCTTCCCAACTTCGTTTCAGTGCCATTTCGTGTGAACGGCAATTTTGCAGTGGGGTCATTGCTCGAAAGCTATCCGGCCCGATTGGTCGTTGTTGACGGGAAAACCCGATCTCTACAGTTTCTTACTTAATTGAATGAGTGAGGGGTCTCCTTCGGTGCCCAGAGTACAGCCGTTGAGCATGATCAACTGGGAATGAAAGAATACTGTCTCGCTATGGTGCTTAGCTTCT